TTGAAGCATCACACAGCCCTGAAACCGTGGGCATAGCCAGGATGCATACTTCTGATACATTAGACTCTTCTTTCCATTGTGTATGCGGTCCCAATTATACCATTGCTGCTCAATTTCAGAGAGTTCTCAAATTAAGCCCTGGAAGCAGAAGGAAATGTCTCCAGAGTGCATTAGAAATCTGCAGAGCCAGCAGTGGCTTGGACTCGACGTTCGTCGCGGGTAGGAGTCGCTGTGTGGCCCATCTGTCTGAAGGTGGTGACCCGGGCACCCACCGCTCCGTCTGAGCTCAGCACCAGGACCCGAGTCTGACCCGAGAAGGGCCTCCCGCCCACCAGGCGGTCCTGGGGGCACCAGCCCCGTGGAAACGCCTCCCCGGAAGCTCGGAGCTGCAGCAAGGGGTGCGCTGTCCACTCCCACCGTGCCCGGCTGGGCCCTGACCTTCCAGAGCTTTCACTAAGAAGGGCTGACGAGCATGGGCCCTTCCTCTGTTTCTCCGAGACACCTGCGTGCTCCCACCATTCGGGGCATCCTTCTCAGGGGCCTGCGAGCCATGCCTTCTGGAGGAAGCTCGAGGAAGGACAGCTGGCCCTCTAGCCCTGGGGGAGGCGGAGCCCTAACTCAGCAGCTGCCAGGTTCAGACGCTGCCCCATTGCTGTCCGGGAGCAGCCCCGGCACTGTCTGCTGCCCCCTCCTGCCCCCTCGAAGGCGCCATCACCTGCTGAGCCCCATGCTGGCTCCTCCCACCGTGGGCGGCGCGGAGCAGAATCCGCTTTAATGGACGCCCAGCTGTTTGTCTTCAATGGGCTCCAAAGGCCAGGAAACTTGCGCTTGCCCAAGCCTTGATGTGGAGGAGAGACAGCGGCCCCCACGACCTCCTGATGACACTCGGGGGTGGTGAGCAGCTCAGCAACTTTGTGGGCACCAGGGGGCGCGGCTGCAGGAGACTTGGGCCAGGACACTGTGGACGGACCCGGAGGACCGGCAGGTGTGAGGAGACAGCAGAGAAAAACGCTGTGTGGCCACGTGTGTCTGTCCGTTTGGGGTTTGGTGGATTCTCCTACAGAACACCCGGGTGCTGTTCACTCAGAACACGGCCCCAGGGGCTCACGCGAACACGGATCTCCAGAGAGGAACCGGCCGGTCAGTGCCATGTCCCTGCTTGGCCCCAGTGTTTTCACCACCATGCAGGCAGTGGCCTTGCACCTGTGACCTCAAGCCCGGAGGTGAATGTTCTGGATGGGAGGCACGGTCTGCAGACAGTAGCACGCCCGCCTGTGGTGTCCACAGCTCACAAGTGGACTCAGCTGAGTGCCCACCGTCCCCAGTGCTGACCGTGAATCTGGAAGCCAAGGGTCCTGAAGACCAGGCCCACCCATGTCTTCAAAGAGCTTGGTTTCCAGTGAGGACGAAAGACAGCAGCAAAGAGACAGGGACCTGCTCTGACTGCGCATTAACAACAGAAACATGACCTAAATGGCTCAGACCAGAGACATAAGTGACAAAAAGAGAGATATGACATGAGGGATATTAACAATAAAGAACTGATCTAATTGAGTAATAATAAGGGTCTGATAGAACAGGATGATGACAATAAACATGTGATACACTGGACAGTAACAATAAGGACAAGACATAATGGACAATAATAATAAAGACACAATGAGCTAGAAAGTAACAAGAGACATCGAGAAAACAGCATGCCGAGTGATCGGTGGCCGAAGGAGGTGTTGGAAGGCCGTCCCGGGGCAGGAGACAGAGAAAGAGGAGAACGGGGCAGGGGCGAGGAGAGAGGGGACAGTGTGGATGCCGTGGGGTGGGCCCTGCCAGGCCCAGTGAGGCGGGCCCAGTGCCGGAGAAGCGTGGCGGGGCGACATGGCTGGCGCACGGGGTGAGGGGCAGACTGTGCGGCCCAGGCCGGGCTGCAGCTGGGGCCCTTTGGGCTGTGTTGGAAATTCCGAGCAGTCGGGTCAGAGCCAAGCGAGCCAGAGGCCGTGTCCACCCGGCCCGGGTCTGGTGCACCCATCTGACTCCAGCCCGAAGCCAGGCAGAGCGCCGTGGACAAGCTCTCAAAATCTCCTCCTCCCAGCACACCCAGGAGATGGCTGCAGTGGGACGGTCCTCTCCATGCCTCTTCCGTGCGGAGGCCATCTCCAGGGGCACGCCTGGGTCTCTCTGCACCTTGCCCACTTCGCCCAGGGGAGGGGCACTGAGTGCTGCATCAGGGGCAGGCCCTGCCCGTCACACCCTGGGCCCCCTCTGTGAGTCCTGCCCCTGCCAAGGCCAGTTTCCTTCTGCACCCAATGCCCACACCAGGTCTCAGCCCGCAGAGGGGACGGTGGCAGCAGGTGAAGCTGCTGAAGGAAACGTCAGGCTCCTCGCAGAACCCTAGAGATGAGGCACGGGGCTGGCCACTTGTCGTGATGTCGATGAGCTTTGGGCCACAGGGGTGTCCCAAGTTGCCGGGCATGCGGGTGTTGGGGATTGGGGGGCAGACAATAGGACAGAGGGGGATGGAGGCCACAGCCTGTCCTCGGGTTTCCAGGAAGAGGCCAGCAGGGTGGGGTGAACACAACACTGGCTGGGTTTAGTGATTTCTCTGGGCTTTGGGGTGTTCTGAGGTGCCAGGCACCTGGCCGGGGTGACTCGGGCAGAGGAGTGTCCCTTCCGGGGACAGGTGGCGGAGGCCGGGCCTCCCCAGGGGGTTGGCACAGGTCATAGGCAGCTCCCGGGCCCTTGGCAGGTGGGGGGGTATCTGCCCACCAGGTGGGATTTCAGCTGTCAGAACATCACAGGAGACAGAAAACTTTAAATGGATACAGCCGACCCACTCCCGTGGGTCTGCAGGCCTGCATGCCAGGCGGTGATTCAGGGGGCGGGTACCAGCCACTCGGCCAGGTAACCCAAGCCCCACTTCCTCTCCCCTCCTGAGCCTCTTTCTCATTAGGGGGTGATTGGCTGGGTGGGGAGGGGAGCAGGGGGGACACCTGGGCACCCTGTGTCCTCTGGATTTGAGTGGCATCAGATGCTTCTCAGGGAAGGAGGATCCCAGGGAGCAGGGACTGCGCCCGAGCTTCGCCCGACACCCCTGGGCCTCAGACCCTTGGCGGGACTAAGCCACGGGACCACAGCTATGCCCACCTGGCTTCTTGCTCTCTCAGGAGGTTTTCACCCGGGAGGGCCTCCCTCCAGGGCGCAGGCTTCCTCTCTGCCCACTGAGGCCCCTGCCTGTCCCTCACCCGCATCCCAGCCCTGCAGCCCCAACCCAGGTCGCCCCCAGCCCCACGGCCACCAGCCCCCAGCACTCCCAGCCTCAGTCACCCCCAAATTGGCTTCCCCCAGCCCACCTCACTCATCTCCCCTGCCTGGCACCCTGGGCAGCTCAGGGACCCCCCCGACAGCCCCTGAGACTGCTCAGAGCAGCCAGCGCCCCGCTGCCCCCCCCACCCGCCTCTCCCACGGAAACCCCAGTAAAGCGCTCCCCTCACCCTTGTGCTGCGCCCCTGACCGCCTCCCCCCGCCCCCCCAGCCCTGGGTCCTCCCGTGGCCCACGGGCAACGTCCCGGCATAGACACTGCCGCCCCCCCCAGGAGCAGTGAGCTGGAAGGGGCACGGTGGGGAGGGTGGGCAGAGGTGCCCACAGCTGCCTGAGAAGTGTGAAGAGACCCCATGCCTGGATCTGGTCGCTGGAAGCCCCTCCACACTCCACACGCCTCATTCACAGAGGGGTCGCCCCCCGACCCCCAGGCCTCGCAGGTCAGGCCGGAATCTCCCAGCCCTGAAGCTCATTCCCAGAAAGGCCCGCCACCAGGGGCTCTGCTCCGGAGAGAAGACACAAGGCCAGCCTCGCAGACTGCAGGAGCGCTAGCATCGCCCAGTGATTTATTTCATCTTGGCATAAGCAGGCAGATGGACAGGGTTTTATGGGGTGGGCACTCAGGACTCGAAACGCGAGCGCTGATCGGTACAGCATCAGCTGGGCAAAACTGTGTCTTCAAGGCGGCTGTTTGTCTTCAACATCCAGCAACATCACAGCACTGCTTAGCACTTTCAAAGCCTCAGAGGAGCTTGCAACTCACAGGAGGACAAATCTGGTCTTTTGTTTCATTTCACACCAATTCACCAAGCAGGTAGGAGGCCCTCACCCATGCCAGTTCCCACACTAGGAGCCAGAGCCTCGCGGTGCCTTCCAGGACGCAGGGAAGCAGAGAGAACGTGGCTCTGCTACACACTCAGACGCAGCCAGAACACGACGCATTTCCCTCCTTAGTTCCTGTTATCTTCCCGTGAATGATGATGTCACAGAGGAATGGGGAAAAGGAGAACACTGGTTTTTTTAAAGACACCAAAAATAAAACATTTTGTAAGCTAGGAAATCATCTACAATAAGACAGAATGCAAAAGAGCACTTGTGTTTACATTTCAACCCAGGAAGGTGTTACAACAGATAATGTCCTGAAACCATCTTAACTTCAGGAAAAGGCCAAGACTTAAAAACACATTTCATTTCAAAACATTTCAGAGGAAGTTACCCAAGAGGCCAACAAATTAACCAGTGGCCACCAGCATTAATAAAGTGACACCAGAAAGTAACAAAAATGGGCCAGGTCATTCATTTTAAGTATTTGTAGCAAAAGTGATACAGGCAGTTGTTGTCACCAAGTAGCCAAAGAATTTCTGCAGCATTCACTCTCTGAAAGGAAAGGAAACTGGTGCAGAGATAAAGTCACCACGGCCCCAGGCCAGCCCCATAGCTGCCAGAGCCCACGCTGGCGCTGGCACCAGGGCTCTCCCCAGCCAGCAATAAAAACAGAAAGGAAATGAAGATGACTGCACCCCAACCCTTGGTTCCAAATGAACCTTGATTCACAACACAGAAGTCATTGCTGTCAACCAACCAAAAGATTAAGCTTCCGCGAATTACGTTTCCCCTGAAAATGCCCCACTGCTCTTTCAAATGTCTGGAAATGTCAGTGTTTGGGGGTTTCTTAATTTCATGAGAATTACGGATGTTGTAAATGCACTGCCTTCATTTGATTCAAGCGATCGAAGAGCAGGGATACTTTTGCACCAACTGGTTCTCTACAGAGAGCTGGACACAGGCTCAGCAATGGGACAAGCCCCGGTCCTGGAACGTCAGCCCTGGAGGCCTGCCCCTCGACCCGCCCTCCTGTGCGGAAGGATCCTGGGCGGGGGGCTTTTCCGTTCGTGTACTTGGCGCATTGCCCAACTGGCCGCACACCCCAGGTACTGGCCCTCAAACAAAATAAACTGGTCTTCGCAGCACACAGGTCCTCTGGCACCTGTTCTCGGTGATGCTGCCATGAGAAACGTGGTCTGCAAGGTTCTAAGTCCATCACCCTCCTTAGGTATCCTCCGGGATCTGGTCTTGACAACTCCCTGGGGCTCGGGGCCAGCTCCCACAGGAAGCGGTGCTGCATCTCAGCCAGGCGTCCCTTCATTCAATTCAAGGATGAAATAATATCCAAACACTCCAGCGGGGTGTGTCATCGTCTGGCTGTCCACGTCTGACAGCTAGTATGTCTCCCATCTCCAATGGGGAGTGTTGACTTTGGAAGCCCACTTTAGCATTTGTGTTTTTCAATGGTAAGCATCCTAGGAATGATTTCTCAAATAAAATCACAGTGATAACATCTCATGAGTTTGATATTGAAGGAATGAAAATATCACCTCGATTCCATTTCAAATAAAAATTGAGCATAAATAATGAAAGTCTGGAGAAAAATGTACTGTCATGTGAAAAGCTCGTGTCTTTACAAGAACACTGTTTGTTTCTTTTGGACCTCACTTCTTCTTCTCCTGCCATGTCTCCAGTCTGCTCCTACAAAGTCAGGCAATCTGGAGCCTGGTTTTTCCTAAGATGCTGACCCAAGTTGCCAAGACATCCTGTCGTGTCAGGAGGGGTCACGGGCAGGCGCACAAATCCCCAGAACACACCAGCTGAGACGGCAGAGCTCTGTCCTCAGGACATGCATGAGTCACGCTGAATTTCTAAGCATGCTTAACTGACCACTTTAATGACCACTGCCACTTTAGGAAGCATAACCTATTCCCCGCCCACCCACAGATCACACAGGCAGGTTCCCTCCCATCACTGATTCATGAGGAAACCACAGTAAGCTACACGTGACTTCATCGACTTCTGTGCCAGTAACCTTCAGTGGGCACTTTTGCTGTCATAAAAAAAAAGTGGATTGGGTTCAGAATCCAAGTCAGCTGGCCTCTCTTTATGAACATATATTTTATCCTTAAATGTTTAATAGTAAACCCTGCCTTTTAATCCTTGTGCCCTATCACAGTAGTGAAACTTCATGTTAGTTTCATTAATGGTATTTCGGAGTTCACAATTAGACAAAAGTAGTTCATCTGCTAAACTACATTATGTTGTTGTTGTTTAGTTGCTAATTCATGTCCCACTCTTTTGCAACCCCATAGACTGCAGCCCACCAGGCTCCTGTCCATGGGATTTCCCAGGCAAGAATATTAGAGTGGGTTGCCATTTCCTCACCCAGGGGGTCTTCCTCACCCGAGTCTCCCGTATTGGCAGGCAGACTCTTTACCGCAGAGCCACCAGGAAAGCCCCCAACTACCTTGCTCCCTCTCCTGTCAATAAGCTGTCACTCTGCCACACTTTCTTAGAATAATGGTTGTAAAAGTAAAGTTCCCTCAGAGTTACAGAATTAATATTTAAAACATCACAATTAGTGGGTTCAAACTATGCCTGTATGTTTTTCTTTAGAACTCTCAGACAAGAAAGGATTTTAGTCCTCTTTCAGGGGGAATACTGCTCTCTTCGAGCCCACTATAAAACATCACCGTGGCTGGGCACACCTGGCCCTGCTTTCAAAGCAGGCGAGCACCAGGCCGCTGTCAGCCTCTCCTACTGATCTAAAACCCAAGTAAGAGTCAGTCATTGCTACACCTTTGAACATAATGCTGCTGCTGCTGCGTCACTTCAGTTGTGTCCGACTCTGTGCGACCCTATAGACGGCAGCCCACCAGGCTCCCCCGTCCCTGGGATTCTCCAGGCAAGAACACTGGAGTGGGTTGCCATTTCCTTCTCCAAAGCAGGAAAGTGAAAAGTGAGAGTGAAGTTGCTCAGTCAGGTCCGACTCTTCACGACCCCATGGACAGCAGCCTACCAGGCTCCTCCATCCATGGGATTTTCCAGGCAAGAGTAATGGAGTGGGGTGCCGTTTCCTTCTCCAAAACATAATACACCCTTTAAATTGAAAGTATTAAACCCACCTCAGTTAGGTGATGAGAGGGACCTGCTCTCAGGTGTGTGGACCTCTGACCCCGTCTGGGGCCCCTTCGATGACAGGAAATATCTCCAGTGCTCACTGGACAGAAGACCTTATTGGGAATCAAAAATTTCATCTTTAACACTTCTTACATTTGGAGTTGAGCCAATTGCAAGTTGAGCACATAGGGCAGGAACTTTTAAACTAAATTAGAAAAGTTTTAAGAGCTTGATTTATCGGTTATAATTTTAAACTCCAAGCTAAAAATAGTATGACCTTCTTTCAGGTGTTTCCAGGAATATAGTTCACACTGGCCTCATTTTAGGACTCTAGTCTGGGAGCCCCTCCGTGTTTCCCAGGGCCTTCTCAGCGGGCGGTAACAAGGGGGCTGGCACCCCGCAGCCCACGGAACTCAAGCCCACCCACTGCACCCGGAAGCGCAGTCTCTGATTCTGTTTCTTTCTTTCTCAGGTATGTTGTATCTTATTTGCAAAGTTATTTGCTCACATCCTGCATCTTAAGCCATCGACCCCCCCCCCCCTTAAGCAAAGCAAAGCAAAGCAGAAGGAAAGCAGAGTAGAAAGGGGGCCTTGAGGCAGCGTTGGACACGGTCTCCCAGGCCCTGCAACAAGCACTACCTCCTAAGTGATCCCCGTGGGCAGCGCCCACCCCCGACCCTCTCCCCTCGCCTCCGCTCCCCTTGCGCCCTTCCGGGTTCCCAGTTGGGACCTCGGCCCACGGGGCGTTCCCTGTTTCAGGCCGCGGAGGGACATGCCGAGTGACCACCCGGCCCATCTTACACGGCGCCCTCCTCCCCTCGGTCCGGCTTCTCCTCCGGCAAGTTGAGCACGAAGGGGAAGAGCAGGCCCCGGGCGTCCGCCGGGGTTTGGAGTGAATGGAGCTCAAAGCTGCCTTCCGGGCCCGTGTCACCGGCGCCAGGCTCACCCTCGGCGGGCGGCACGAAGCGCCAGGTGCCCGCGCGGCTCACGCAGTAGATGGTGCCCTCCAGCGCGGCGCAGCGGAAGGGCTGCAGGCCCGAGGGCGCGCCCGGGGGCCGCAGGTGCGAGGCGCAGCGGCTCCACTGCTTAGCCAGGCAGTGGTAACGGAGCACGCTGACCCCCCCGGCCGGCACGGCCGCCGGCGCGTCGCCGCGGGCCCCACACAGGTCGAAGCGGTAGATGAAGCCGTCCAGGGCCACCATGTCGGCTGAGCGCTCACGGCTGCTGCTGCACGGGCACTCCTGCCACTCGTCGCGCCGCGGGTCGTACTTGAGCAGGCGGTAGAAAAGGGAGCCCCCGGACACGTAGATCTCGCCGTTGCACGTGGTGGCCTCGTGCGCCACGGCGAAGGCGCCCCGGGGCAGCGGGGCCACGGCAGCCCAGCGGTCGGCGCGCGGGTCGTAGCGCTCCACGCTGAGCAGGCACTCGCCACCCACGGCGTACAGGTGGCCGTCCAGGGCCAGCAGTTGCAGCTGCGAGCGCGCCTGGCGCAGCGGCCTCACGGTGCTCCAGCGATCTGTGGCCGGGTTGTAGCAGAAGACCCGGTCGGAGGGCCTGGCGCGGCCGTCGGGGCCCGCGGGCCCCACGCCTCCAGCCACGAAGAGGTAGTTGTAGAGCACGCAGAGGCCGCAGCCCCGCGCCGGCGCGCCCTCCGGCAGCCGCGTCAGCTCGCGCCACTCGCCAGCCGCCTCGTGGAAGCAGTAGACGGCGGCCTCGCCGCGGCCCTCCGCGTCTCCCGAGGGGCTCTGCGGCCGGCTGCCCGCGCGCTCCCCGGCCGGCCCAAGGGCGGCGGCCAGCAGGCGGGTGCGGCCGGCGCGTAGGCGGCGGCGCAGCAGCAGGTCGCGCTCGGCTCCCGACAGGCGCCCGAAGACGGCAGGCTCGCGCAGCACCTCCAGGTAATGGTCGCTCATGAAGCGGTAGGCGGCCTCGCGCAGCTCGGCCAGCCGCTGCCGCTTGGCCGCGGTCAGCACCTCGAAGCAGTTGGCCAGGCTCAGCTGCGGCGCCACAGCATCGGTGGCGCGCTGCGCGGCGCAGGGCAGCTGCAAGCGGCGCGCGCCGGCCACTACGTCGGCCACGTTGTCTGGGCGCACGCCCGCCATGCGCCCGCTGTACGCGTAGGCCAGCAGCAGCCGCAGCGCCGCCCAGCCCACGCCCTGCACCCGCAGCACGTCCCGGGACGCGCGCGCGCGGAAGTAGTCGCTGCGCGCCGCCAGCACCGCTTTATGCGCCCGCAGCCGGCGGCCCGAGACCTCGATGAGCAGGTCGGGCTCTCCGTGCTCGGGACCAACGCCGGGGGGCACGGGCGCGGGATCCGCGGGCTCCTCCGGGGACGCGGGCTCCTTGGCCGGCGGGCGCTCCCCGGGAAACGCGGGCTCCTCGGGGGACGCGGAGTCTTCCGGGAACGCTGGCTCCTCCGGGGACGCGGCGCCCGCGCTGCCGACGCCCCACTGCCTCTCCACCACCCCCCGGCCGCTGCGACACGAGGGCGGCGAGGCCGCTGCGTCCTCCGCCGCGGAGGAGGCGCGAGACTGCGGCGGGGAGTCGTCCCCGGAGCTGAAACACAGGGACGCGCTGAGGCTGCAGGGTGTCTGCGCCGGGGACGCCGCGCCCTCCCCCTCGGCCGCGTCCGGCGGCTGCAGGCTGCCCTCTCCCGGAGCCTCGGGAGCGCCGCCCCGGCCCCCGGCCTGGCCGCACGCTCCGTCGCCCGGGTAGAGGACGCAGGGGACCACCGGGCTCTCCATGCGCGCGCGCTCGGGCGGCTGTCCCCGCTCAGCAGCCCCGCATCACTCTGCCCAGACTCGGGCCGCCCAAGGTCGATGGCTCCTCCGGGCTCCGGGCGCGCGATCAGACCTCACTTGTGTCCACAGCGGGTTTCGCTCTCGCGCCGCTGGCTCGCGCCCGCCCGCCCGCTCTCCCGAGAAAGGGGTGTGTCGGCGGGAGCGCGCTCCCGCTCGCGGCTGAACTTGTGACCCCAGCGCGGTCCCCGCTGGCGGGCGGCCGTCTGCCCGGGTCTGTGCGGTCCCGGCTCCGCGCGGCGGACGGGACGCGCTGGGCACGGGTCCCGCTCTGCGGGCCGAGCTGTTGGGTACTAAGCACCTGGCCCGCCCTCTCTCTCCGAGTCACCGTCCATCTGTCCGCATCCCATCGCGTCCGCGCTCGGCGCCAGGCTGCGGCCCACGCTTCCCAACCCCGACTTTCAGTCCTGCTTTACAGGCAGCCGCCCGGGGAGCTTTCATCTCGTGTGTGACCCCGGTTCGCCATTAGCGCTGAGTGGGGGCCTGGCTCGGCTGTGTTCACCTGGGGCGGGCGGGGATGCGTAATTCATTCACCAGGTGGGCGTTAGGGCAAGTCAGTGCACACACTAGACCCGTCTTCCTCACTCATCCACCGGGGCCTTCCTTTTCCTTTGTCGGAATATCAGGTGTTTCCATGTCGTGTCACCAGCTCTTCGTGTTCCTGTTTACGGGGAAAGAGAGGATGTTTGAGTTTGCATTTTCCATAGGCGATTTCGTGTGATACCTACCATCTGTCCCCAGCACCCCCACAGGCTGTAGGCTTCAGATTTGGTGGGAAGGGGATTTTGGCTTTTCAGTGCTGGAGAGATACTTCAGTGAATATTATTTAGGAATTAAAAGACTGTTCCTCCCCTGATTTGTGAGGCCTGTAAAGAAGGACCTGGTTCAGCCAGGGGCCTTAAATATTAATACATTGGGTTGAACCACAAAACTGCTGGTTTGGGGATCAGTGACAGTCAATATCAACCGTTCCCAAACTCCAAGCTAATGAGATGTTATGTGTGAAATTAAGAACTCTCAGTGAGAAAGCATGGTTAGCCTATGACACCTCCTCAGTTCTACCCTGGGACAGTTTTCCTGAAACCTGATCCGGTCAGCTATCTCAAATTTGGTCACAACCAGTATTTAAAGAAAGGTGCTGAGCCAGGGCTCTTGTGTGGGCTTGGCCTCCAAGGCTCCAACCTGAAACCCGTTTGATTGGCTCCTTCTCCGCACCGCACCTCTGAAAACCTCCAAGAAAGGGATGCTCCAAAGAGCACACATGCCCCCAAAGAGAAGCCAAGACGAAACGGATCAGAAAACAAAACCCACATAACTCCTTGGAAGGCAGAGGTGAGCGCCTGCAGATGAATCAGAAGAATAAACCATCTTTCCTAAATTGGCCAAATCTTCACTGAGACTCAGCAGCCTGGAGGGGAGGTCTTGGCATAAGGGGTGGGGCAGCTGTGCTCTGGTTTTCCTACAGAGAGGCGGCGGACAAGAGAAACCCTCCAGACACACGCAGCCAGGCCCGCCGTCTTTCCAGGCTGTGTTCGCCTCTTAGACGAGATACAGTGACATGTAACCACCTACCCTCAGCTGCTTCTGATTCTCTGCTAACCGTACTTAATACTGTTACCTGATCCCTATAAATGTGCAGGGTTGAGTGTATGTATATATATAAACACACATCCTTGCCCTGCTCTTTCCTGCTGCCATGTTAGGAAAAAGGCTTTCCTATATTCTCAGAAATACAAGTGTCTCAGAGTTGGAAATTCTAGATGTTCAGTTCCCTCTCCCTTCCTCTGTCTCTCTTCCCCTCCCTCTCTCTCTCTTTCCCAGAAACTGTTAACAGTACCCTGTGGGCATATTCCCAGGTGCAGAGCGCTGTCTAGGACGTGTGGAAAGGCAGCGTGGGGACGGTGAGGACAAGCTGAAACTCTCACCACGGGCGTGAGGGTCACGGGGGTGCCGCGTGTTTACTCAGCTGTGCCCCAGCCCGCGGAGCTGCTGGGGAGGCGCTGTGTGCACTGAGGTGGAGATGAACTCCGGCCCCTGCTGACCGGAATGTGATGACAGACTGGAAACGAGCACAGATTTTATAAGCAAAGGTTCTGGCTTTTTCCCAAACTGCCAGAGGTGTTTTCTTAGTCAGCTAAGTCATTCAGGGAAAGTTAGATAAAAAGTAACACATACTTACATATCCTACCCAAATATATGTGTGCACCTCCATGTCTGAAATAAAACCGGAGAACTGGCTCTCTGATTTGCCTCTTTCTTTTCACACTTTCTCTGTATGGTATGGCCAGTCTTGGGCCTCAGAAAAACTAACTAGTTTTTGGCCAGGAAAAGAGTTCCAGAACTTCCTAGTTCCTTCTCTGGCCTGACTCTCATCAGAATGTGCACAGGCCCAACCCCTGCGGGTTCTCCTCTTGGAAGTCATCACAGACTCGAAGCCAAGGCAGGGCATGGGACTCACTTGAAAAGCCTGAGTTTGGAACTCTCATGTTTTAAAAGCTCTCCAGAATCCATTTAAAGCCTGAAAGAATCGGGCAAAGCAGAAATTTTGTCATAGCTGCACTGAGCAAGAGCTGCGTGATGAAACAGACACAATCTAGGCGGTCAGTGGCCTTAGCAGGCACGGCCGTGCCCGCTCCCCGTGTGCAGTCCGCTGTCTGAAGGAAGGTGCTGCAGGCTGACAGGTCCTGCCTCACCCCCACCCCAACACACGGTGCAGGACAAACGGTCAGCATCCCCAGGAGAGAGCAGGGGACCACTTCCTTTCCCAAATGACATTCAAGAAACTCAACTTTCAGAGCGAAACCCTCTCCCCCAGAATGACCCGTTACTGTGGTTTGGCCTTAAACTGGATGGGAAGGAATCAGCCGGGGTGTATAAGAGTCCTCGGAGGCATTGGCGGGTCTGCCAAGACGCTCAGGTCAGGTTGCTTTGGTTGGAAGTCTGGGATTTCCAAAGGGACTTTTCCCCATGTTGTACTTGGCTCTGGAATCAGAGTCCCCCT